GCTCGTGCCGTGCCTGAAGCGTGCTCGGGCCAAGCCCGGCCCATGTCGGGCCGTGGGCCGGCCCGGTCCATTGGACCTCATTTTTTGATCCCGGCCCGGCCCAAGTTTTCGTGCCGTGCCGAGCACGGCCCATTAATATTTGTGCTCGTGCCGTGCCGTGCTGGGCTGGCCCATCCAAGTATTTCTGGAGTTGTTATAGAATACAAATTTGATTTGTAAAAACCCAAGCTTTTTGTAACCCAAAAACAAAAACCCCAAGCTTTAAAATTAAATAAATAAATAAATAATTTCTTCTCTGTCAACACGTGTAATTCACGTAGCCCTTCCCCAAATCACAGTTCTCTCCCTCAGATTTCTTAACTTTCTTATCTCTTTTTTGGGTTCATTTTGATGGGTAATGATTAACTCTTGGGTTTGGTTTCATTTTTGTGGCTTGGTTTCTTTTCTTTTTTTTAGCTCTGTAATTTGAAAAAGAGACTTAAAAATTGAGATTAAAAAGAAACGAAAAGGGTTGCGGGCTAGGGAGAACGAGAGGGAAGAGGTAAAGAGAAGTAATTAGAAGAAGGAAAAAAGAAGGGGAGGAGGATTGCAGGCCAGGGAGAACGAAAGGGAAGAGGTAAAGAGAAGTTAATAGAAGGAAAAAAAATTGGAGGAGGTGCAAGTCAGAGAGAGCGGAAGGGAAGAGGAAAAGTAAATAAAAAATAACTTACAGCTGTCAGCATTTCTCATAGTTTAAGAAATCATAAATATTATAATTATTGGTACATCTTCATAAAAAATAATATTAAAAAATAATTAAAAATAATTAAAATTTTAAACTATGCATAAAACAAAACAACATTAAATTATAGAGAGTCACTAAGAGTCATTTCTCTATCATATTTAGGAGCTCCTAGAGATCTCTATATTTTAGGAGATGGATAGAGAGCGTCTGATAGGGAGGGCTCTAAGAGCTCCTAAATCTAAGGAGAGATAAAGGACTCCTAGTCACTCCTTATAATTTAATGCTGCTTTATTTATTGAGTATTTCAAACCTTTATTTAATGCTAACTATTGTTTATTTTATTTTTTAATAAAGATGGACCAATCAAAAAAGAGTCATAGCATTTATGACTCCCTAAACTAGAAAGCATGATTGAAGTTTAAATTTTATACAGAGATCCTTATATAATTTTTATATATTTTTAGCTAAAATTTAACTAAAAAATAGAGAACATGGTTGTAGATGCTCTAAGGCCAAATGCAAAACTTGATTAAAGAAAAGAAAAGACTTACAATTTCAAAAATAAGCTTTGTCAACTGTATATAATGGACGACTTAAATTAAAAAATAAAAAATTCAATGACAAAAATCTCGTTGATGGATAGTTGCAGAGTCAAAAACATCGCAATGACTTGAACCTAGCATTACCACGATAAAGATGTGTTCATGCAGCTTTGAATTCTAAACTTCATTTTCAACTTCCGTGTAATCTGCCACAGAGAAGCTCAGCCTGCACACGACAAAATAATGATACAATCTTCCTCGGTGGCTGCGCGAAACCTTGACATGACAGTAAGACAGACGAGTTCCAACTAGTCCATCATTCATTTCGGATGGAATAATACTTGTCCGAGAGAATTGAAGATTTTGAGATTTCATTCATATTCTTGAACTTAAGGCTGCAATCTTCACCACTGCAGGATAAGAAATATAACAAAGCAGTAGAAGATTAACCAATGAGTCTAGTACTGAAGGACGAACCAACGCCAACAAGAATTTCATGCAGAACCTACATCAGGACATGGATAAAAGGCAAGGGTGAAACCTTATATGATGCAAGGATGCAATTGGACTAAGAGTGCTGTGAATCATATCTTTGTTGCGATCTACTTCTTGCTTGATAGCATCGTACCGAATTTGTACTGCTGTAATCTTTCAGAATTTCAGTTAGCACTTTCACAATAGATGAACATTGTTGATCGCCAGCAGCTAGGCAAAGGACAGCCGCACATTGAGCTATTGAATACAAAGCTTGTTTTGCAACCCCACCTGACTGGGGAGATGGTTTAGCACTTGATAGCAGCAGAGAGTCTAGTAAGGTATCAAAACTTGTGTTTGCAGAATACACCAAGGAAGCAAAAAAGTTTTGCAATGCCTGCAATATCCAACAAAGAATGTTCTCAAACATGTACAACGTTTCTAGATCAAGACAAAACACCAGTTAGATAGATAAAATTACCAAAAGGGCTTGCCCCTGCAGCAATGAGCTCTTAATTAACATTAGGGCTTGCGGAAGAACTTTGTTTCTAATAGCCAATCCAACAACTAGGCTTGACCTGTCTGCCATCAAGGTGCAGCAGAGTTCCAGGGTGAGGGCTGTCATATGCAAGTCTGAATCACTGGAAATGTGTATTAGATAGACACTAAGGTTCACAAATTAAACCACCCTGCCACCAATCACACAAAAATTTGAAAAGAACAAAAAAATTGGTGAAGTAGCAAGAGAAAAACCTTATCAGTGTGGCAAGTTATACAATAATAACTTCATAAGCAGATGAGCCAATTTTATCTCCATAAGCAACAATTAGGGAATTCAGGGTCCACAATGTTGCCTGTCTTAGAGGCTGATTAGCCTGATTTCCACCAAGGCAAAGAATATTAGGATTAATTTCATAGGTCTTTGAGTGATTCTAACATGAATTTCATAAAAAAATTTGTAAGAAGATTATGAATTCAACAACATATTAAGTAAATTCCCATACCTTCCTTAAGAATGCAGTCAACTCTGCAATCACTTGCTCAAACATTCAAGATTGAGCTATTTTCAGTGGAGAAGCAGCAATGACAGCAAATGCTTGGATGCAAAACACTCAAGGTCTTAGAAACTTAAGACATGTACATAATAATACAGTCCCAAATGTATATCTTCAGAAAGTAGAGGCCGAAAAAAAGACATCAGCAAACAAATGGCAAAGGAACAGTCACAGTCAGTCACAAAAGTGAGCAAAAGAATTACCTTCACAGCTGTAAGTCAAGTGATCTCATTTCCCATCCGATCAACAAGTACAGGAAGGCATACTGGAAGTTCAACATTAAGGTTATCACCAAATGTTGACACAACTAGATCCATGCAAGATATAGCACATTCATTTACCTCCTGCAAAAGAATAGACATGAGCCACAATATGTGCAGACATAAACAATTAAGTACATATATAGGATGATCTTGATCTTTATTTGTCAAGCGTGATATTATGGCATTATATATTGGATGAACATAAGGTTTGAAAGCAAAACCAATCCCCTACATGGAATAACCATATCATATAAGTACAGAAAAGTTTAACAGGACCACAAGACTAAGTGTGCCCACTAATACACCTCGATATTCAGGCGAACGACATGGAAAAATTCCTTACACACCCTTAGTGCCAATCCGTGAAGTCATCCTTGCCGTCAAAGGGCTTTAACGCAGGTCCTAGATCCGCATTCATCTTCCCTTTAGACATCGTAGAACCCCTTAACCTAGGCTCCTGATACCACTTGTTAAATAACTCGCCTTCTAGATCTTGTTCTTTGATGTAACCAACGGCAATAGACTAAACTAGCAAATATTAAAACACTTAGAAACACACAAGAATTATACTGGTTCGGCAGAACTTTTGCCTACGTCCAGTTGTGATTTCTCTAGGTAGAGAAATCACCGCTCCTTTGATTAATAATAGAGATTACAGAACTTTTGCAACCCTAGAACTAATCTCAAAACTCTTGGCTGTCTCTGGCTGTTTTTCCTCTCTTTAAAATAAGCCTTGCCACACCCTATTTATAGATATAGAGTTGGCTTACATGTCCCAAGGCTGATTGGATTCCTATTCCTAAGTAGATTAGGAAATTACACTTATCCAAATCCTAATAGACTTCTAGAAATCCAAACCTGAATTGAATAAGGAAAACTGAAATTCTTTCCTAATCCCTCTAGGACAAGAATTGGTATACCTCTAATTTTCCTAAAACAATCCTAAACCAACTAGGACATATTTGACGAGCCAAAATCCTAACAGGAGAATGTGAAGCCAGCACCAATCGTGCAAATATAAGAGCTTCAATCTTTAAATTGGAGGTAAAAGACCTATCCTAGAAAAAATTACAAGAGACCACCAAAAAAAGGAAAAAAGGGGAACAAATATCAGCACCAGAAAAGACTTATCTTAGTTCAAAATACACTTACAATTTGAGACAATTTTACTTACACTTAACGCCTTTTCAATTCCTGGACTGAGTGAACCCATGTGATCAGCCAGGAAATCTGGCAAGACCACCACAAGTTCTTAAAAAACAGAAAACGCGCCAACCTGAAAATAGATAAATGTTATAGTTCATAACATTCCCATAACAGACAATCCAAAAGACACTTAAAAAATCCTACCTTTGTCTTAATAGATTTCTCACGTAGCTGCCTATTTATAGATCTGACAATCTTTGGCACTTCTTGCTTCAATAACCATTTTGGACTGCAAAACATGCCAAGAATTTAGCAAAGGCATCTAATAACTCAGAACTAGGACTTCCCTAGTTAAGAATCTAAGATTTCTAAAACCATACCCAACCGAGCAAATGCTAGATAAGAGGTAAAAGAGAAAACAAACTGCATGTACTTTAACACTCAGATAACATTACAAGTTTACAAGTTACCTCTGTTCATTTATCTCAATCTGTCCTTCTGTAACATTTTCAGTTTGCTGCAACAGTTCAATGAATGTATTAAAAAATCCATCTTCAGCAAAATAATTAATCCCGTGAAGTGAGATGATCCACTGACATTCATTCTGGTTTACATTAACATTTTCCTCCCTCTCTTCAAACCTGTCAATTAATTTTGGACAAGCCTGCGGAAAAGCAGAAAGTGTTTAATGATTTCATTGAAGGACTATTGTGAGAACTGAAGGAAATTAAAACATCACATTTCAAGTCGATGAGAGACCAGTACCAAGTAAAATACAAAATCAAAATGTTACAAATATATCGATAACACAAGAGAGCACACAAAAATATAATGAGAAGTTTCAAGAGAAATTGCAAACAATCTCAGGACTATTGTCCTCATACAGCTTTGAAAGCATCTCAGGACGGGAAACAATTAATGCCGCTAAGCATTTAGCTGCTGCTCTTCGGACTTTCCAGCTGACATCTTCATCCCCTGTATATTCAGTTGCTCACTACAACATAATAAAGGCAGCATAATTAGAAATCGTTTAGCGGACCTGTGATTCCGAGTCAAACATAACCTCACACAGCTTGAAAACATACTCATCTTCCTTCCCCTCGTGAGTTTCATCATCACAATCCTCCTCCATGCTATCAGTGAAGTTCAGGTCTTTAAAGTTAATGTGGCATGAGATCAAAAAGAAAGATTTAAACTAAGAGGTGCTGAAGTGGAAGAAGGTACAGAAACTATGCAGCCTTTCCATACTTTCACAACTCTATTTTAAAGCTTTTTGTCCTGATACAATCTGTTTGGTGTTTGACAATGTGGACTGTCTTACATATTTCCTCTTCCTAAGCTTTTTAATCCTGCTCACCCTCCTTGGATTATCATTTTCCTTCATTTTCTCTAACTTCTCTTTCCTCCCTTCAATATCAGATTGAATAACTTTCTCTCTCTTTTCATCTGATAGCAAAGCCAATCTAGCAAATTTCTTGGGCCTCACTAGGCCAAGCCTCTCGGTTATTTCCTTAAATGCAGGAACAAGACCGCGTCGTAGGAAGCATCCATCAATCAGCTGTATTGAGTTTGATTCAGGGAGAGCTGGGGCATCTTTCAACTCAAGGTCCAAACAAAATGGGGAGTCCTTTAACCACATCCTGAGGGAGTGTGCCTTCGCTACAAGAAGGCCACTTCGTGTTTTACAAGGCAGAAAAGGTGAACCCATCTCCCAAAGGCATGCCTTCAATGTACTGTTAAGTGAAACCATGTTGTACTCAGATGTCCCTGTTATCAGCACGACTGATTTTGGAGACTCTGGATAACCCTCCAATGATGCATCCTGCTATAAAACAAGAAACTGTGTTAGACTCACAAATGAAAGGGGAGCTTCAAAAGGGTAGTGATCTCAAACGAAACTGTGAAGGAGAAAGAGGGTTGCCTGCATCTGATCCAACCATAATGTAAGACCAACAAGAGCAGAACCAGCTGATAACTTTCTAAAATCAGCAGCCCAGTCTTTGTCAGCTACCCTGCATTTAAAAGATTACTGGATATAAGCAAACCGATGGAAACGAAAATTGATTGATAAGGAAAATCACTTTCTTTTCTTTAGCCTTGATAGACATAATTTCTAGTCTTCATACCAGATGGTTGACTATTGGATCTACCAACACCTACCTGAACACATCATTGTTATAGATGCCTCTCTTTACTGCTAATTGGAAAACCCATGAAGCAGTGGCTCGGAGTTCATATGCCCACAAAAGGTCCTCCAAAGCATTGACAAAGTTGAAGGCTGCATTGTCTTCCAAGGGTTCTAGTTTTTCTAGGCAACGATCTACTTCCAAAATCAGTGACTCAGGTTTTTCTGTCACAAGCCTACAAGACAAGATTTGCTTGGAGACGGATCAGAGGAGAAAAAACTGGGAAAAAGAAAAATCTGATTGTGATTCTATTGAGAACTAATAATTACCTGATTGGAAGATCAAATCCGGCATCACGCAGTGCATTTAGTAGAATAATGGCTTCACTTTTGTGCTGGGATAAACTTGCAGCCCGTATAAAGCAAGTCCATATTCTATGATCTGGCTCCAGGCCTACTTCCTTCATCTCATTGAGCTTTTGAATTCCAATGTTATAATCTCCATTCTTCAGATAAGCACCAATAACTGAACTATATGGTAACGTATCAAGATCTAAGCCAGTTACTTTCAAATTGTCAAGCACCTTTTCAGCTTCCTGAGGCTGTCCAGAGCTGCCATAAGAAACCATAAGCAAGTGCATTGTGGCAAAGTTGGGTTCTATTCCTGCCTCTTTCATCATGGTGAACAACATTTCAGCTTTGGCATGGTTTCCTGAATTTCTAAACATTTTCATCATTGTATGATAGAAGGACCGATCCAGTTTACATCCATTTGACCTTAACTCTTCAAAAAGTTCCTCAGCTTGATCCAACAGCTTCTGCTTACCAAATGCCGAAATTAAGCTTTTGTAAGTGTCCAACTTAGGTTCTAGGCCCTGCCTTCTCATTTCCTGCATCAATGATAAACCTTCTTCTGGTCGACAATCTCTGCAGTACATTATAATTAAAGTATTGTAAGTATCGTCATCAGGTTGAAGTACAGCTTCTTGAATCCGCTGGTATACTTTAACTGTCTTTTTGAAATCCTTAATTCCTGCATATAACTTAAGCATGGAATTCCATATTGAAAGATCAGGCTTGAACCCTGCCTCTTCCATCTCATAAACCATTGCTTCAACATCCTTTACTCGTTTTCCCCTGCACAATAACTTGATCATAATCCTGAAACAATCCATGTTAGGAAAATAACCTGCAGCCTTCATTCCATGGTATATCTTCTTTACCTCAAATATGTTACCTTCTCGAGCAAATGCTTCAAGCATCAAGAGAATTGAACTCTTGCTTATTTTTAAACCCATATCTTGCAACTCCTGGATTAGAACATAGAGCTCATTCAATCTCCCATCGGCAATCAGAGCTTGTAAAAGACCATTTACAGAATCAATTGTTGGGGAAGGACCATCTCTCGTCATTGTGTTAAAGACCACTCTAGCTCGCTCATAGCAACCACTTGCAGCATAAGCTTGTATCAAGGCATTCCAGACCTTCCTATCCACTGCTTTACATCTTTGTCTAAGACTTCCCACCAAACTTTCAGCTTTCTGCCACAGCTTCAATTTCCCGTAGACTTCAATAACATTAACATATATGTTGACATTGTCAAACAAAATGCCTTTCATTTCTGCCTGATCAATCAAAAGGTGGGCTGTCTCAGGGAAACCCATCTTACAATAGATGAGCACCATAATTTGGTAAAGATGCTCAGATGGTTCAACGCCATATAATCTCATGTCAGAATAAACCTGAGAAGCTTCACCAAAGAGTTCATTCTCTTCGCAGCCTTGAATCAGGATTTCATACATGGTTGAACTTCTGCTAAAAGAATGGAACCCTCTGGTATTACTATATTCCACCAAGGCAGCATCAAATCTGTGAGCCTTGCATTGTATGACAACCAATGCTTCAGTTATAAGTTGATTGGAACCGGGAGCATGTTCTCTCAAAAATTCAAGCAATTCACATGCTTCTGAGTGCCTTCCACATGAACTATATGAACTGACAATAGATAAAAGACTTTCCCTGTCCAACTCATAGCCACTGGTGATGGCTAATCTCAACATTTTAGCAGCATGGTCAAAACATTCTCCCTTAACAAGAATAGAAGAGATAACTTGTGGGTTCATACCACCAACTTTTTCCATATCTCTGATCACTCTTTCAATGACTTCCAATTTATTTTCTCTTCCAAGCACCCGCAACATAAACTCATAGAGGGCATGATCTAGCTTGAAACCGTCATGCAGCATTTCCTGATACAACGTGATAGCCTTCTTTGTCTCATTGACCTTCAGAAAGATATCCAACATAACTGAGTATGCTAGATGATCTGGTCTAATCCCAGACTTAACCATGCAATCAAATGTCTCTTGAGCCTCCACCTGTTTCCCAGCCTTGGCATACGCACACATCAAAGCACTATAAGTCCGAAGAGTGGGTTTCACTCCACTGTCCAACATCTCTGACATCACATTGGCGGCCTCTGTTATCTTATTTGCTTTTCCAAGCGAATCAATCAATACAGTGTATGTAACAGCATCAGGAGTCCGGCCTAGCATTTTCATGTCCCTGTAAAGCTGAAACGCTAGATCATGCTGGCCCTGCTTGCCATACATGTGGATAATAGTATTGTAGGTCATCTCATCTTTACCAAACCCCATTTTCATCATATCTTCACCAATATCCCTCACCTTTTCTATATCAAGTTCTCTTGCAAAAGCATACAACAAGGAATTATATGTCACTGCATCTGGGAAAAACCCTTTCGACTCCAATTCCTTAAAGAGCTGCTCAGCTTTGCTTGATTCTCCACATCTCCCATATACGGAAATCATGGCATTGTAAGTCCAAAGATCAGGCTGACAATTATGTGCTTCCATATCATTGTAAACCTTCACTGCCTCCTCCAAATTGGATTCACGCGAACAGCCACTTATAAGAGTATTATAAGTTATTATATCTGGCCTAAGACCTGATCTTCTCACCTCATTTAAAAGGTCAATAGCCAAGTTTGGTACCATGGCTCCTGACCTCAGGCGAGCATTTATCAAAGTATTGAGACTCACGAGGTCCGGTTCGCACCCTCTCTCACGCATTAAATCGAGCAATTCTTGGACCTTATTAAACCGGCCATTTCGTGCATAGACGCCCATCATGGCATTGTACACTTGGACTGTATTGCCAGTTCCGGGCTCAGCCCTCATGAATATTTCCACAGCTAAGGCTTCCTGGTTAGCCTTTCCAAGGACTGCTAAGATAGTGGCAAGCATCCGTGCATTCGGGGAGTACCAGTGGCGTAAATTCAGCCACTCGTAGACCTCCAATGCACGCTGCCAGCTCGACTGGCCCACCCATTTCACCACAAAGCAAAAATCAGTTGGGGTCATTTGAACTTTCCTATCATCCAACACATCAGCCACAAACTCGTCGGGTTTCAGTCCCAAAATCCTATCAGTAAAAAGTTTCACTCTTTCTCTCCAATCTTTGGCTCTTTTGAGAGCCAGTTTGGTCATTTTCTTGGCCTTAGTCTTGCTGGGCCTCCCCAACACTTGTTGGGTTTCATCATTCGTATCCAAAGAACCCACAGAACCCAAATTCAGGTCTTCTTCCTCTTTCCCCTCAGAGTCGGAATCAGTGGAATCTTGCACAACATGGGTCGGGAGTGGAGGAGTGAATTGGGTGTGAGGTGAGGGATAAGTGTCAGTGAGCTTCAAATGGGGCCATCTGACTGAGGGTGAGGCTCTGCCATAGCTAAATTTCTGAGTGCTTTTCGTGCTCCTTGTGCAATCATCGCAGCCATTCGGTTGCCCAGTAGAGGAACTAGAAGTAGAAGCAGTACTAGAAGTGGAACAAGAGCAAGAAAGAGAAGCGGTTATTTTGTATACCTTAGAAAACGCAGACGAAGGTGATGATGATGATGATATCGAATCTGAATGTAATAATGGCGCGGTGGGAAGGGTCGTCGTCAGCGCCCCTGTGAATGCCGCCATGAAGACTCGCTTTTGAATTCTTTCCGTGTGCTGGTTCTTGTTTTGGTTGATGGTCGCAGGCAGCAGAGCGCAGATATTTCTTTCCGTGAGCTGGTTCGTGTTTCGTGTTTTGTTTACTTATCACGAAGTGATTGGGCTAGCTAAGTTGTAAATATTATATGTGGGCTTCAGTTTCACTACCTTTGAATTGGGCTCAAAGCCCAAGACTTCCAAATAAAGAAAAATTAGGTATTAGCAATAAGAATCTTTAATCGTAAAGATTTGATACCTATAGTATTTCTGTTCGAGTTTTGATACATAAAGATCAAATTTTGTTTTGGATTTGGCCAAAAGGTGGCCTAAGTTCGTTGGGCCTATCTAAACTATAAAGGTAAAATACAATTTTATCCTTTTTTTTTTAAGTGTTGTCAAAATCAGATCTCACCCACTCTCTCTACGACATCACGCCGAGTCTTTCTCTTCTTCCTCACGCCGAGTCACGATGTCGTCTAGAGAGCTATTTATCTTCTTCCACACGCTGAGTCTACTATGAAGTAAAGCCCATTGATAGGCTTTTTAATACCTGCGCAAACAGGGTTAAAACTCCTACAAAACTTGCAAGAATGACAAGGTTATTGTAGTATAAATGATTCTAGCAAGGTCGTTCTCCGCATGGATTATTAAATAACTCGTAGCAACCAAATTCTAATTAATTATTGCAAAAGAGAAAGTTGAGATGTTTGATTTGAAGACCTTAAATTAAAAGGAATTTAACTAATAAAAATAAGGCAATATGCAAAATTAAAGCTAAGAGCAAGAGAAACAGTTGTGTTTTTAGAAATCAAATTAAGAAAGCACTAGGGATCCGCCGTCACCTTAACAATTCTATATAGTTCCCCCAATTACTTATGACCTATACATGCATATTTCGAAGGTTAGGTATTCCTAATATATGCCTACTTGGACCCCCAACATAGAGCGTATATCACACATGCAATCCGTCTGTGGTATTCAGATCAAATCTAAACATACATGACTCATTAAGTTCTGTGAAACCTTTTGAAAAACCATGCAACCCTTAAGACGTGGTATTCATCCTAAGTGAACTTGCACATATTAATCACAAGAAGCCTTCGTCAATTTCAGGGACCGACCTCCGACCAAAACTGCATCAAATTACTTTTCTAAACATCCTAATGGTGATCAAGCATCAAGACACTTAGATAGTTTAACCCAGTGATGAATAATTCGAAAACCTGCATGCATATAATCATAAGCAAATTGGACAGAAACTACATATTCTTGCTAAGGCCCATGGCCTCACCCTAGCAAAAGAGAGTTAGTTACGCATGTTCACAATTGAAATCCAAGAAAATATCATTAAGAAGAATAAGAATGAAAACACCTGAAAGTCGCGAAAATCCAAAACCCTAGCAATTGCTCCCAAAGCCAAAAAGAAGTCAAAAAGGGAGTCCCCTAAATTGCTGTGAAAAGGAGCTTAAATACCTCCTAAAACCTAGCTACCCAATCCCCA